GTCAGTCTCCCATGTCATTAGGATTACAGGCTTGTGCCACTGTGACCACCTTTGGTTTTTTTGTGGTGATGGGGATCAAAGCCAATACGACCTCATCATGTATGCTAGGCAAGCAGTCTACTACTAGACTCTATCCCCAATTCCCACGAAGGTTTTTTTGGAAAAGCTTGGGAAAAGTTAGTATTATTTCTCTAAATGTTTGTAGAATTCACCAGAAAAAACACCAGGCTCCTGGATTTTCTCTGTTGGAGGATTTTTTTTTTCAGTACTGGTAACTGAATTCGAGGAGCGCTAAGCTCCAACCCCAGTAGTTTTTTTCTTTTTTTGACAGCCCTGAGCTTTTTGTATTCCTGCCTCAGCCTCTCAAGTAGCTGAGATTACAAATGTGTGACCCTGTGAGACCCTGTCTCAAAAAGACCAAAAAAAAAAAAAAAAAAAAAACCCACTGAAACTAGATTCCTCTCATTCTGTACAAAAATCAGTTTAAAATAGATCACAGGCCTAGGCATAAGACCTGAAATTTTGAAACTGCTAGAATAAGGCAGAGAGGAAACACCTGAAGCTTTACACAAGGGAAAAAGACTTCCTGAATAAGACTGTAATACCGCAAGAAATAATAGCAATAATCAACAAATGGGAGAACGTCAAATTAAAACATTTCTACGCATTAAGGAAAACAATTAATGGAATGGGAAAAAGAATCTTTGCCAGTTGCTCTTTTGACAGAGGACTGAAAGTAATATATAAACCAAGCGTGGTGGCCCACACCTATAATCCCAGCACTCGGGAGGCTGAGGCAGGAGGATCCTGGGCTACAAAGTCAGCTCATGGCCAGCCTGAATTGCATAGCGAGACCCTGTCTAAAAAAGACAAAAAATAAAATAAAATAAAAAGTAAATATATAAAGAACTCAAAACACTGTGAAATAGCCCAGTCAATAAATGAACAGACACTTCTCAAAAGAGGAAGTACAAATGGTAAGTATATGAAAAAAGTCCAGCATCTTTAGCCATTAGGGAAAGGCAAATGAAAACTACATTGAGAGTACATCTCATGCCAGTCAGAATGGCTGTTAAGAATACAAAAAATAATAAATGCTGTTAGAGATATGGAGATGAGAAAGGAGCCCTTTTATACTCCTGGTGGAATGTAAATGAATACAGCTACTATGGAAATCGGTATGGAAATTTCTCAAAAAACTAAACAGAGAACTACCATGTGATCAGCTGTACCATTCCTTGGTATATACCAGAAGGCATTAAAGTCAGCATACTATAGTGAGACCTGCGTACCCCTGTTTATTGCAGCACAGTTCGTGATAGCCAAGGTGTGGAATCAGCCTACGTGCATCTACAGAGAATGCATAAAGAAAATGTGATTGATATATACACACACACATACACACACACACACACACACACACACACAAGTACTACCCAGCTGTAAAGGACATAATCATGGCATTTGCAGAAAAAAGGATAGAGGTGGAGATCATCATGTTGAATGAAATAAGCCAGATTCAGAAAGGTAAGTATCACATGACCAAAATATATTATATGCATGTATGAAAATATAGCCTGGTGTGGTGGCGCATGTCTGTAATCCCAGCACTAAGGAGGCTGAGGCAGGAGGATCATTGAGAGTTTGAGACCAGCCTGGGCTACAAACTGAGCTCAAGGCCAGCCTGTACTGCATAGTAAGACCTGGTCTCAAAAAGACAAAAGAAAATATAACATTAAAACTAAATATTAGTATATTTATTAAAGGAGTACCTGTTAGGGCAATCATGAAAAAACATGAAAGGCGCAGGTCTTTGGCCTGGTATTAGTTGACAGGAAGTCCACAAGGTTAGTGCTCATGTAACTTTGTATCTCAAGGGCTGGACCAAAGACTGGTCTTCACTCCTGATTTTGGGCAGAATAAATGAAACAAAGTTATTTCCAGGTACACAAAACTAAAAATTCTTTATAGGAGTTCTGAAATAGTGATCTATGCCAAGTTTATCCAAAGGACACTGGCCTGGAAATACCTTCTGAATTGTAGTCTCTGGAGCTGACTGTAGGGTACATTTATTGATTGAAGGATAAATTTGCCTGGTTAATTTTTTTTTTTTTTTTTTTTTTTTTTTGGTACTGGGAATTGAACTCAGGACCTTGTGCTTGTTAGGCAGGCGCTTGTGCCACTGAGCTATATCCCTGGCCCTCGTCTGGTTAATTCTGAGAACAAATGAGACTCTGAGGTGCTACTTAGCTGCAAGACCTGGAGCAGTTGGTATCCCCAACTTCTTAGAGGGACAAGAAATATTCAATCATGAAAGATCAAGCATGTGTGATGCTTTTAGACATCTAGGCCTGCACACCAATCCTTTCTGTACAGACTTCCTCTTTTTTTTTTTTGGTCTTTTTGAGACAGGGTCTCACTATGCAGTTCAGGCTGGCCTTGAGCTACTTTGTAGCCTAGGCTGGCCTTGAACTCACAATGATCCTCCTGCCTCAGCCTCCCGAGTGCTGAGATCACAGGCGTGCGCCACCACGCCCCGCACCAGACTTTCTCTTGCAGATGAACAACATTCAAAACACTAGAGGAACATACGGACCACAGGAATAGGTGTAGTAGCCCAGAAGACAATTTCACCAAGGAAAAAGACAAATCTGATCAGGGATTTGATCAGATTCTGACCAAAAACTCCAGGGGGTTCTTATTCTGAGAGAAAAACAAAAAGCAGAATAAGTCTACTGCTTAAGGATCATAACCAAATATCAGAGCTCAATTCAGCAAGAAGCTACCTCCTAGCCACGAGCAGAATGGCACTGCAAAGAGAAACACAAGCCACTTCACCTGTGCACGCAATTACCAAGGTGGGGGTGAGGTCCTCAGCTGAATTTCTGTGGACCCTCCATTTCTGACCAGCCCTCCAGCCAAAGATTACAGCAGTGCACCTGTGGTTGAATAAAGCAAACTGGACACAAGCATCTCAGCACCTGCACACTTGAGAGGGCTTATTACAGGACTGAGGCTTGCGTTAGGTGATTTCCTAGGAGAGTTTAAGAAACGAGAGATCTGCTGTAGGTTGGATACTGCCAGAAAGTGGAGACAATTCTTTCTGGTTATCTTAATGATTACAAGATAGAAGAATCAGGGCTCATTCTCCATTTGTTAAAGCACCAGCAGTCAGCCAGATGGTGTGTGCCTGTAGTCCCAGCCACTTGGAAGACGAAGGCAGGAGGACCACCGAGGCCAGGAAGGGGAGATCAGCCTGGGCAGGCCACAGAGCCAAGGCCTCAAAAAAAAAAAAAAAAGCCGGGAGTGGTGGCACACTCCTGTAGTCCCAGTACTCAGGAAGCTGAGGCAGGAGGATTATTGCAAGTTCGAGACCAGCCTGGGCTACAAAGTGATCTCAAGGCCTGCCTGAACTGCATATTGAGACCTTGTCTCAAAAAGACCAAAAAAAGTAACTATTTGGCCATTTTTGTGGTTTGGACAATGTCCTTTTACATACAGAAATTATTACAGAGCTGGGCGTAGTGGCACACACCTGTAATCCCAGCAATCGGGAGGCTGAGGCAGGAGGATCGTTGGGAGTTTGAGGCCAGCCTGGGCTGCATAAATGAGTTCAAGGCCAGCCTGCATCACACAGTGAGACCCTGTCTCAAAAAGACCAAAAAAAAAAAAAAAAATTACTACAGAACGGTCTTTTTCTCCATCCATCCAAGTGTGACACCGTCGATGGCGCTGTTTTGTGAAATTGTGCTCAGCTGGACAACACCACTGCCTTGCTTGTGGGGCCTGACCTGCTCCTAGCAACAGCCAGACTTTTGGAGAGAGAACGCAAGCCAGCTCCCAGCTGCCGGGAGCGGCCTTTTCTTTCCCCTCGCTGCACTTAGAAAATCACACTTTGCAGCCCTTTGGCAGAATGCGAGCTCTCTGCATAACCACAGACCCATTTCTCTCCGATACCATATAACTGGCCCACTCGTTCATTTACACTCTCACCCGCCCCTGCTGGCGTTTAAAGAGAAAAGGAAGCAGCCAAACAAGCCCGGAGAGAAGCGATTCGCACAGGCTCTCCCGGTGAACTGGCGGCAAAGTTGCAACCAGACCTTTCACTCTGCGGTTTTCCTCCCAGCCTCTTGCTAGACGCTAAAGCAGACTGTTAAACCTCTGAAGTATCCGCCTGTAAACTTGAGGCCGATTGGGTCAGATAAAAACACTTCTCACTGCTTTCTCGCCCCCAGGGGTTTTTACGTTATTTCTTCTTTGGGGATGCGATGCTTGGTCTCACGACATTAGATGGGATTCTAAGGTCTTAGCTCAAGGGCTGCAGCCACTCCTGACCTTCGTGCTGCGCAAGGGCACCGAGCTTGCTCCGTCCTGCACGAGGGTCTCTGAATGCCTCCATCTCTACGTGGCCGCTATTCAACTTCCCCTCAGCCCCAGCTGTCAGACAGCCCTGGCATCCCTGGCGCCTAGCGTCCCTGCCCTCTTCTCTGGGAGTCCCCGTCTTCTGCCGCCTTTAGGAGCATCCCTTGGTGTTTCGCTCACAAGTTCTCCCACAGCCTGTCAAGAATAACAACAACAACAAAAACAAAAACAAAAAAACACTACCCCAGTGCAATACGGCATTAAGTAGTACTTTCAAAAACCAGACAAACAGGGGCTGGGGAATATAGCTCAGTGGCATAAGCGCCTGCCTGGCAAGCGCAAGGTCGTGAGTTCTATCGCTGGTACCGCAAAAAACAAAACAAAATTTTGGGCCTGGGATAGCTCAGAGGCACAAGCGCGTGCCTGGCAAGTGCAAGGTCCTGAGTTCGATTCCTGGGACCAAAAAAAAAAAACAAAGAAAACAAAGAGCGTGGGGCCGGGAGGCCTCCTTTATCCGGTCTTGGGATTGGCACTCACTGCCCCTCGCCCTGCTCCGGAGGTTCCAGCTCGCGCACTCTAGCCCGCAGCGCCCCGCCCCCACCCCTCCCCAGCGCGCATGCGCCGAGACCAAGCCCCGCCTCCGGGCCAGGGGAGGGGCCGAGGCGCGCCGCGGGTCGGCCGGGCGCCGGCTTCCGGGTGGTACGAGCGCTTGGGGGCGGAGGATCGATGTCGCAGAGTGGCGGCGGCGAGTGGGCGTGTTCGCTAGAGGGTCCGGCAGGACTCGGGGTCCTCGAGAGCAGGCGGGAGGGCGCGGAGGGAGTCCGGGGCGGTCGACGCCCGCCGCCCTCCACCCGGCATGTCGGCCGAGGCCTCGGAGCCCGCGGCGGCCGCGGCCCCGGCCCTGGAAGCCGCTAAGCCCGCGGGTCTGGAGCCCGGCGCCGCCGCCTGCGGGCTGAAGCCGCTGACCCCGAACAGCAAGTACGTGAAGCTGAACGTGGGCGGCTCGCTGCACTACACCACGCTGCGCACGCTCACGGGCCAGGACACCATGCTCAAAGCCATGTTCAGCGGCCGCGTGGAGGTGCTCACCGACGCCGGAGGTACGCGCCGCCCTTGCACGCGCCTCCCTCGCCCCGGCCCGGCTCTGCCTCCGCGCTTTCAGGGCCGGGGCTCCTCCCGCCCCCGCCTCGCGTCTTCCCTGCCCTTCGCATTCGCAGCCTCCCTCCTCCAGACCGTTACCCCCGGCAGTAACCAGCAGTTATGGGACCCTTAGCTCTTCGAGGCACCCTGGTAAGTGGTTCGACCTGTCACCTCTAAACCTGTTACAGGTTCTCCCACTTTCAGCCCGCAGCTCAAAAGACGTGGGAGCAAGCCCTGCTGCCAGCAGCACCCCTTCAGGCAACTTTCATCGTTTCTAACAACTGCGCAGCCTTTTGCACCACCCACCCACCCCCGTCCCCCGTGCCTCGGGACCCCCAGCAGCCAGCCTGGAGACCCGGGAGATGTCTGTCTCCGTGTTCCCGTAACACAGGGTCCTGTACTCTCTAGGAAGCATCCGTAAATGCAGGTTGTAGGAGAAGGCCGCTCTGGGGTTACCAGCAGCACCAAAGTGGGGGGTGCACAGTTCTCCGTGGCAGGTGAACCCTGCCTTCTTGGAGTGTCGCCTTCGATTTGGGGAACCACATGATCTAGTTAAAAGTTTGCGTATCCTTCCTGTCCCTCTGCGCGGAGGTGGATGGGGATTCAGAGGGAGTTAATGAGTATTGTGGAGGAGGAAAATAAAAATTCGGGAGGTAAGAGTTCAGCCTTCAAATATAGGTGAACAATTCATTTAATTAGTATTATGTAAAGCACCAGTTGGTGTTGGAGATTTTTTTTTTTTTTTTTTTTTTTTTTTTTTTTTTTGGTCTTTTTTGAGACAAGGTTTCGTTATGCAGTTCAGGCTGGCCTTGAGCTCACAGTGTAGCCCAGGCTGACCCCAAACTCAAAATGATCCTCCTGCCTCAGCCTCCCTAGTAGCTGGGCTTACAGGCATGCGCCACCACGCCCGGGTGGAGAGTTTTTGATAAAGGCACCTGACAAGATTAGTTTTACAGACTTTGCCTTTTTCAGGGAGATAGCATAAGCTAGTGAACAACAAAATATATGTATGTAAAACTTAAAATGGTAGTGAAACTGGAGAATGGGCATAAGGAATTAAATAGGATGGTCAGAATTAACACCAGGGGTTAGGGATTTGTGCATAAGGTAATTCTGTAAGAACTTTTTCTCGGTGAGAGCCTTCTAACTAGAACAGATTTGGGAGGGAATCAGTTCTCTTGTGGTAGGGTATGTGTAAACGCCTCTAGGAGATCCCATTGGAGATACAGTATTTGAAGAATTTCTTAGGTATGGCAGAAGTTTGAGGCAGATCAGTATTCATACTTTCTTTGTTTTTGTTTTTTTGGGTTTTTTTGCCTTTTTGAGACAGGGTCTCGCTATGCAGTTCATTCTGACCTTGAGATCATTTTGTAACCCAGGTTGGTCTCAAACTCGATCCTCCTGCCTCAGCCTCCCAAGGGCTGGGATTACAGGCATGAGCCACCACCCCCAGCCCAGAGTGTCTTTGAAATCTTTTTTAAAGAAAATTTGAGTAGCTCCAGGGCCCCTACCAAAACCACCCTTCCTAGCAAGACGTTGAGGTACACGCCTGTAATCCCAGCAACTGGGAAGCTGAGGCAAGAGGATCCCCACAAGTTTGAGGCCAGCCTGGGCTACATAGTGAGTTCAAGGCCAGCTTGGACTACATAGCGAGACCCTGTCTCAAAAAAACCCGTAACAAAACAAAAAACACCCCTCCTCCTATCTCTTCCCACCCCACCAGGTTGGGTGCTGATTGACCGCAGTGGCCGCCACTTTGGTACAATCCTCAACTACCTGCGGGACGGGTCCGTGCCACTACCTGAGAGTACCAGAGAACTGGGGGAGCTACTAGGTGAAGCTCGCTACTACTTGGTACAGGGCCTGATTGAGGACTGCCAGCTGGCACTGCAGGTGAGGGTCCTCCTCCACCTCCCAAGTGTCTGTGCCCATGTGCCTGGGCGAGCTGCCCAAGGGTTGGCTGTTAGGACAGCACAGAGGTAGACGGCCTGGAGAGCCTGGCTCTGACTGCGCGTACTCAGAGTCCCTTCACTAGCTCAAGCCAGACTGCTGTGATGATTGAATCCCTGTTCTCTGCTTCTCGCCGTTCCTTCCTGGCCAGTCCAGCTGCCTCGCTGCCACCTGAGTAATCATTCTTAGGCACGTTCCCGCCAGCTTGAACCACTGGTGAGACACGCATGGCTGCCCCATCGCGGCATGTACCACCGGTCTAGTCATGTTCATCAGTCTCTTTACTAATAAAATTAACTAATAAAATGAAAAGCCGCCGATGGGACAGTTCATGCACGAATCACTGGTAGTTCGTGTCACCCAGCACCGAGACATACGAATTAATGGCTGTCGTGAACATGTCAAACACAGCCCCAGTCTGTTCTCTCCCTTGCTCCCAAGCCCTGGATACTCCTCTATGTCACCAGAGGAAAAAAAAACTAAATTTAAGTTGGAATATAATAACCTACCTGACTGATTTACCCTGAGAGGCAGCAGTCCTGTGCCTCTCCACCCAGGGGCGGGCAGGCTCGCTCTCTTGCTTTTCCTTTCTTTCAGAGCAGCGAGATCCTTTCCTCGGGTAAAATGTCACAGAAGCAGAGCCACTGTCTGTAAATAGGACTGAAGGGTTCCAGGCCCCACTCGCACCTGCGGAGCCCCCCTTCTGTGTATCCCTCGGGCTTCTCAAAGCTCAGTCGGGGCCCAGGGCTTTGGAGTCACCTGTCCCAGCCCATTGAGTGACCTTGTGTGAGTCAGTTCCAACCTCTGGCGTTCTCTCCTTAGGCTCTAAAAGATCACCAAGAAAAATAAGTGCAGTGTAGTGGGTTTTACATAAAGCCTTTCACTCCGTTCAAGTTTTATAACATTAAAACGTCTTTTATGACACAGCAGTAATAAGAGTTAATGCTCTTTATAGGTTACAAAGTGGTGACTTTGAACAACTTTCTCTCATCTCAGGGCATCCTTATTTTCCTTGAAGCCCAAAGGTCTAGCATTCCTTTGGATGGTCTCTGTGCTTTCATACTTCCTGCCTGCGGCTCATAAGGGGGAAATGCATTTTTATGCTCATACGTGTGTAACTGAAGTTTATGAAAGGGTACTGCTAGTGCAGTGCCCTTTGATAAATTGTGTCCCCTCCCACCCTCCCTTTGTTCCTCTCTAACACGTCTGAGACTCATTAAATTTATTTCATGACCCATTAACAAGTTACAGCGTATAGGTGCGAAACATTGAGCTAGATCCTGGGAGTACGTTCCCGCCGTATGCTGTCAGATTGTGTATCGGGGTGATTGTGCTATCTGCTTGTGTGTACATTCTGTACCCTTGGTTGACCTAAAAAGAAACACGAGGGAAGTGGGATGATGCCCTCAAGGTCAGTGAGCCAGTAAGTGGCAGAGTGCAGATTCGACCCCAGGTTACCTGACTCCCGGGTGGGACGGCGTTTTTTCCTGCTGCAGCAGCCTCCGGCCCAGGTTTCCAGAGACCCTGCCCGGCCCCACTGCCCGCAGCTCAGCACCTCCCAGGTACTGTCATCATTGGCCCGTGCAAATCTTTTATTTTTCCCCTTCATTCCCAACCCCTTGCCCCCTTCCCCTTGCCCCAGGGTCACCCATTCAATGCTAATGTTTGTGTGCGTACACTGTACTTGGGCTAGGCTTATACTCTTGAAAAGCAAAAACACTCTTTTGTATATGTGTGCACTTTAAATTACCATAAAGGGCATTGAGCTTCGGATCCTGTTTCACAGTTTTTTTTATTCTGTACTTCTTTGGAGATCTATTGATGCTGTTGGACGTACATCTCATTCCTTGCTTCCAAGAGCTGCATAGGAATCTATGTTTTTGCTCACTGTGTTTTATTCATCCATTCCTGTGAGGTTGGAGACCCAGCTTACCTCCCACCTCTTCTCGCACAAACTTGTACACGTCACCTTATGATCCTGAGCCCGTTTCTCACAGTGGTAGCTGAGCGCATTGCTGTAGATGCATGCAAACTTAACTTCCAAATGGTCGTAGTATTGGTACTCATGATCCACAGAGTAGAGATTCTGCTTCTGCATAGTCTCGGTGACACGTGGCCACCTGCATCTTTCTAATTTTGCCAGTCTGATGGGTGTAGAGTGATCTGATTTTCCTTTGCATCTTCTGACTACTAACGAGGTGGAGCTTTTTTTATTTTTTGAACATCTTCATACTCGACAGCTTTTTGGTGTCCCTTGAATTGCTTTTTTTTGTTAAATTGCTTTTTTTTAACCAAAATTTCTACTGAATTTCCTTCCTGCTGCTTGGCAGGAGATACTTGCACATTTTAGTCTGGTTTTTAAAGGAAAATTAAGCCATATTATATAATGGCACGTATTTTACATGCTATAAGTCATGTGGAGTTTTTTGGTTTAGTTTTTTAAAATCTTTTAAGACCAGAACATTTATTGTTTTTGTTTTTGTTTTTTGTCTTTTTGAGATAGGGTCTCCCTATGCAGATCAGGCTGCCCTTGAGCTCACTTTGTAGCCTAGGCTGGTCTGGAACTCACAGTGATCCTCCTGCCTCAGCCTCCCGAGTGCTGGAATTACAGGCGTGTGCCACAATGCCCAGCCAGAACATATTTTGTGACTAATAGTCAAAATTCTCAATAATTTTGCATGCTACATGAGCTGCTTTCTTGAGTTTAGGTATTGTTCTTCACAGAATCAATGCTTGAATCTGCAGTGCACACTTTTTAGGTGCCCTGTTTGCCCAGACCCCATGGTATTTCATCTTGTAGCCTTGGCATACCAGTTCTACCTTCTCTTGTTCTTGTCAGGGAAGACACATTTGCCACAGGTCAACTTGGGACGGTGGTAAGCTTTAGGGCCACAGAGGCAGCACAACCTGCTCATCTTACTATGACTTTCTAAGTGACACCGTTCCCTAAGGCAGTCATGGTGGACCTGTGAGAGCTTTCAGTGATACAAGCAGCCCACCGCCTCAGGTTAACCACCACTACCCTAAGGCATATGTTGTACGTAATAAACTAGCCTTTCTCCCAAGCATCTAGAGTGATACAGTTTACCCATCACAGTTGGGAGAGTTCCAAAAGTACTCACATTTTTTACTGAGTTTTAAGATTGAGATGAGGAATCCTAGTGGAGAAAGTCTGTTCTATATAATAATTCGTAGTCAATTTTAGATATTGCCAGTATTTTCTTTTAGAATGTTCCCTGTCTGTGAATCTGGTACTAAGTAGAAATCCTTGGTTTTAAAACAAAATTACAGTTAGCCACGTATTATTTTTAAAGCAGTATTTATCAATTGTAGAAATTTAGGAAACAGATAAATAAATAAATACAAGCACCAAATACTTTTCCAGGTCTTTGTGTGTATCCGTGCGCGTGTATGTGTCTCTGCTAGAATCATGTTGTATGAACCATTTTGTAACCTGCTTGTTTTAGTCATTGTTAATAATTGCCATCTTGCCATATCAATAAAGTTTTTATCTGACGCCCAGGGCATACTTCAGTTTCCCAGTTGTTCCAGAAATGTTTTTATAGCTGGTGCTTCTAAACCAAGATCAGTGTGGATCTGTGCCTTGTATCTGGTTATTCTGTTCCATAAGGCTCTTCCTTCCTAAAACAACCCCTTCTTCATCCGTGATGCTGACTTGTTAAAGAAACTGCCAGTTTTCCTGCACAGTAACTTACCAGTTTGCCTGGTTTACTGTTGGTATCATTTGATTTGTTACCGTGTTTACTGTTTGTTTTGTTTTTTATCTTTTTGAGACAGGGTCTCCCTGTGCAGTTCAGGCCGGCCTTGAACTCACATTGTAGCCCAGGCTGGTTTCAAACTCACAATGATCCTCCTGCCTCAGCCTTCTGAGTGCTGGGGTTACAGACATGCACCACCATGCCTGGCGATACCCTATTTATTCTGAATTTCCTGTAAATTAGATCATAAGTTTAAAGGCTTGATATTAAACATTTTGGTTAGAGTACATTTTAGGTAATGTTCCATATTTTAAATTGTATTACACCGAGAGACCCACAGTATTGCTAATATGCCTCTTGCTAGTGATGCTCAGAGTGACTCCCGGACTGAGGTGACTGGTTTGAGGCCTGAACTGTAGTCATAGTTCCTCGCTGCCAACTATCAAGTCATCTGTATGGTGTTATTTGGACACTGTGCAATTAGCAGTTACCTTATCTTCAGCACACCAATTGGTAATCCTTGCCCAAGTCAGTAATGTCACTGGGATGCTTAGAAGTCTGTTATTTCCTCAATGTGTAGCCGTGCTTTCTGGTGTCAACTGAGGTTTTTTTTTTTTTTGGTTTGGCTTGATTTTGAGACAGGATCTCACTATGTAGTCCAGTGTGTGGAGTGCTGGGCTTACAGGTGTACCCACCATACCTGGCTTTGTTTTGTTTTTGTTTCTTTCTTTTTTGAGACAGGGTCTCTAAATTGTCCAGGCTAGCCTCAAATTCATGATACCCCAGCCTCCGCCTCCTGAGTAGCTGGGATAACAAGTGTGTGCCACTGTTCCTGGGTCAACTGAGACATTTGGGTGGGGAGGGGGATGTTGAGACAAGGTCTCGCCATACAGCCCAGCCTGGCCTCAAAGTCATGGCAGACACCCTGCCTCAGCCCCCCAAGTACTGGGATTACAAGTGTGCACTAACACGCCAGGCTTCCACTGAGAAATTCTTGACATTAATGTCATCAAACGACTTACCCTTTTATTGGCCAGTGTTGTATCCTTTTAGAGTCTTATTTAAGAAGTTTTCCTGTGGACTGGGGATATAGCTCAGTGGCACAAGTGCCTGCCTGGCAAATGCAGGGTCCTGAGTTCGATCCCTGGTATCAAAAAAAAAAAGTTTTCCTTTAAATTTTTTTTTTTTTTTAATTTTTACTTTTAGAAAAAAGATCTCAGTGTG